CTGAATACATTCAAAAGAATTTAAATATACCATGCTTTTGACAGCAGCAGGAATTTTCACTATTGAGAATGTGAATTTACTAGTCAGTGACAAACAGATTTTTATTTCTCAGCTTCCACGGGGACATCCATTTCAAGTTTTCATATTCCATATAAGAAGCAATTGGCACTGCATCAAGGATAGATATTAATCCAAATACTTTATTGTAATCAAAGTTCAATCCATTATTATCCTTGTCTTTTAATAAAAGGATGTTGCTCCAGCAGCTTTAAGAGGGAAGGGAAATACTACAATTTATCAGCACAAACAAAGATTTAACTGCATACCAACAGCATTCCTAGAAATGCATTTTTCTCTTAATTGCACATATTTTTCTCTAGCACTTGAAGCTCCAGCAAGACTTTTTGAGCCCTGGCAGTAATCCAAGTTGCAGATGGTTTGAAATGCAGCCTGAAATCAGTGTGCAGTTGAGGAAATGCTCCTTACACCTGACCCCAACTTCACACCAAGCAAGAAACGCAAGCTGAACACTACCAGTCAAAAAGGTTTTCGTAGGCACCTTCATATCTGGAACTATATCCTTGAAGGCATTCAACAAGGCCACATGGCGAAAAGTCAGAGAAATATAGTAATTAAGAAACAAGCATAGTACAAGGAAAAAAAATCAGGAGAAAAGTGCAACTGCAATGGTTAATTTTTAAAAACGCTACTAAGGAGGGACTTCTGCATTTCATACCCAAATGTCATCAATTCATGTTAAATATCACCAAAAAAAGTGTGCTTTCACAAATCAACATATTCAAAAAGTGATTTTAAAAAAATCTAAGAATGCACACACATTTGGTTCTTCACATGTAAAGTCACTATCAGTGATCCAAGTACAGTACAGTAAAAACAAACAGATACCCTAAAATAATTTGCCAACAATGAGATTAAATTTTCCACTTCATCTTTTTTGGTCAACCATGCAAATTCCTCCCACCCCCACCCCCCAACTTCTCTCTCTTTTTTTTTCAAAAGATGCAATTCAGTATTGCATGCATTAGTTCTTATATTTGTGCCAAAACACACTAGAGAAACATAATCCATTTCGCTTATTCCCATGAGAACAATGACTGCAGCCTCAAAATTTGATTCATTGTTTCAACTATATGTACCTTCTTCTAAAGCTTCACTTGGCCAACCAGAAAGCTTACAAAACACCATGTGACTTAAGACAACACTCAGAATAAGTCAAAAAGTAAACAATGCCAACAGAAAATCCAACACTGCTGATCTGAGCAAATGGGAAGATACTCATTAGTGTACTGTATTCTTTCAGTCACCAAACCCAATTTCCATCTATAGATTACTGTGGACAGCAATACCGCCACTGATCAGGCACATTGCTAAACACAGTTGCTGCTATTTAAAAACAGACAGATGTAAGTTCAGTAACTAGTGTGGCCAGAATAATTTCCAATACATAAGCGTCAAGTCCTTTGGTCTTGTTCGCCAGCCAACAAAATAAATGGATATCTCTTTCTTCCCATTTTTTCAAATGTTTTCTGCTGAAGTTTGATAATGTAGCTACTGAATTCCTTATTTTTTAAATTACATGAATACTGCACAAATTATAGTAATAACTTTCTTAACACACGCTCATATCATGCAACGTGTTACTCTTTCTGCTTTGCTAGCGTATATCCCTTCTAAAATATGGTTTTGCAGTCTAAAAGCCCTATATTCTCCTGCATTTAGCTAGACTCTGATTCACAAGATGCCTGGAATAACCAGTCCAGATATAACAAGTCCTGTTATTAAGAGTTGGCCATCATGTTATCATTCAGCCTAAATTAGTACAGCCAGACAATGCCACATGAGAATGACATTTTCTTTAGCTTCTTCTTAATACATAAAAAGAGAGGCATGTTTAGAAAAACATGATCTTTATATTAGAGTAGACAGGGTTTCTTCAAAATAAATATTCATATTCTCTCTCTGTACAGTGTGCTAAAACAAAACAGCAGGCATTTCACATTCTACAAAAGATCTAGCCTGTGTAATAGGTGGCCTATCTAACAATGGGATAAGAATGCAGAAAAAATGCAAAAAAAATTATTTTCTTAATAAATATTGAAATAAAAACACCATCAGCCCACCATATAACTGTAATTTGAAAATGATATTGGTCCAATACATTGAACTTGTGTGGGCAAAAAATGCTGCAGAAGAAAATATTTTTTTAAAAAAAATTATGAGTGTTTCATGTGCAACACATAATAGGTCTATACAATGTCTAATAATTACACCGCCACTAAACTACATATTGATTTTCTAATGGGAGCTCATATCAATGTATCATTTTATTAAGTACCTCAATATTAATTGTAATATTTCTGATATGGCACTAAGTAACATACCTGATGATGAGGAGAAAATAAATGTCTTTGTAGTTATTGGTTAGCATAGTGTTAACTTGACAGAAATGATGACAGTAACAATTTATTTTTAAGCCCAGAAGCTGATGGATAACTTTAAGGCAACAAAATCCAGATGCTGACCATCTGCACTACTTTAAAAACTCTTTAACAAATACAGTGCAAAAACATGTATGTGTGTGTTAATTTTACTGATATGCATTCTTCAGGACATAAAAACCTTTTTCTGCAGAGATTTGTGTGTATGTGTGCGACGGAGAAAGAGATGAGCAGACAGGCAGATGGTCCACAAACATATATGAAGTAAGAGAAAACTTAATGTTCTGCATACAGATTTCTATATTATAGGATTGAATAGTTTACAAGGCATATATTTACAATTAATGTATCTGCTAATTCAAGAGCAGTGAAAAACCAAAAGACCATTTATACTAATAATATTTACAATGCATCTGCCCTTCTTAAAGGTTCTGTTTGTATTGTTAAGACACGTTTACAAATAAAATCTCCATCGATCTATTAAAATTTTCAGTTTTAAGGACACTGTTATGAGAACAATAGCATTATGTGTATTAATAAAGAGAAATTTAAAAGAAGCCCATCCAAAAGGCTGGTAATCTTTTTTTTTCTCTTAAACTCATTCACAAGGTTAGTTTTTTTTTTCCCAAAAGCATATTCTGCTAAATGAGATCTTCCAAAAATCAAGCCGGGCATCATTTAAACTACAAGTAAAAGCCATCGGTACTTGAGGCTCTTGTTCTTTTCTTCTTCTTTTTAAGGAGAAAAGGAAAGAAAAAAATTCCCATAAATTGCTTTATGTCCTTGGCTTGCCAGGTTTTGAGGAATGTCATGTGTCTTATTATCCCCATTCCTCCAAACAGTTTAAGCTACTGAAGCAATATAGCAGTTGAGCTAGCTACAGGCTGCTGCTGCTGCTCAAAAAAGCAGCAGCAAGAGATACTAAACAGCCACAAAGGTAAAATGTGATTTGAATCGACCTTGAGATGAAGAAAAGAGAGAGAGAGAGAGAGAGAGAGAGAGAGAGAGAATAATTGCTAAAAAAAAGCCTAAAGGATCTGATTTAGCACATATTGTACATACAAAAATCTTGCACACTGCAATACACTGAACATATTAGTGGTACCCTTGTTATAAATGAAAGGGGAATCATCACACACAGAAGTCCTGTTGTCCTCTTGAGGTATTATGGACTACCTGCATTATTGGTTTTCACAACTAGTTCATTTACATTATCTAATACTAAATGCAAACTGAAAAGCAATTTCTTAAGTGAAGAAAATGAACTTCTTTGCAGGGAACTCTGACAATCCCACCACACCCGTAACTCAGAAAGTACCAATCATTCATTTGCCCCACAAAAGAGCATCAGATCTCATAAGTATCAACTAAGGTCATCAAACTCAGGACAGTCACCCTTCTCCTGAATGAATGCCCATATATACGAACTCACATTCTGAGAACAAACTTTAGAATAACATGTACAGTATTTTTAAAAGACGCCACAACAACAACTCGGGGTAGGTGACACTTTCTTTTGCAAAGTTCATCAGAAATGCAAGTTGATAAGAATAAAAGAAGGAACCAAAGAGCATTAGGAAAATATTTACAATCCAGTATTTATTCATGTGTGCTGCATTGCATGTCAGTCTTATGAACATATAAAGGCCTGACTCGTCATTTAAGAACACACAGGGGGGAAAAGATGCCCTGGGGAATGCATCCTGTCTAGCCAACTCCCCAACTCCCCCCAAGAGCAGTGACCACTGATTTCTAGACCTGCTAAGCAAAATGTGTTTGACCAGCCCACAATCAGCATTTAATGGAACATGAAAAAAGCATCTTGAAGCACAAGCCCCAAACTCCTAAGGACTCTACTGGGTTATCTCTTTGCCCTCCCCTGACCCTGGTGGCCTCCCGCATATGTGTCAGATTAAACTTGGGAGTGTCCATTATGCCTCTGTTCCTCCTTATGGCAAAATGTTTTTGCCCATCCCAAACACATAAACCTGATGATCACCTCCGAAGGCCCTTTCACCCGCCAGTTGCATGGCTGACACTGTCCAGACAGCTCACAGGTCAGCCACACCATGAAAGCACTACTTGAGCATGGCAGCCTCCTTTTAATTAAAGCAACCCATACATGACACAGGCACATACAGAGATCTTGTTTGCCCTTTAGCGAGATGGTGTGTACATACAAATACACACCCCTAGAACTGCTTGACTAAGCAGAACAACCTCCCTTTTTCTTCCTACTTTCCAACACATCAGAAAGACCAATAAATTCATTTTGACCTTGCTTTTCTCCCCCTTCCGCTGTTTTGTGTTTGGCCGGCTGATAGTTCCACTCATGTATGAGACAGAACCCAAAGCCGGGAAAGAAAGAAAAGAGCAAAAGAAAGGAGGAGGAAGGAAGCAAGGAAGGGAAGCATGCCTGCAAATTACACCAGTCAAACTATCCATCACCCTCTAAGTGCTTTAATGGTATCATCTCGACACTGCTGGCCAGCCCCCAGGAAGTCCTGCTCTCTTTCTCCCACGGTCCTGCACCCCACATACCTTGGTTTGGAGATAATGAGGGTAGTAGTAAGTGTACTGGGGGTACATTGGTTGCTGTTCCAGGCGTTTGCCCATGTAGCTGGAATCTTTTTATCTCCGATGCAGGGAACTCGTTGACAGTGGAGCCAATTGCCCCCAGGCCTTTTCTTCCTCTTAAACCACTATTCCTGACAGTACTGGTGGTACTGATGGATTGAGGAGGGTCTCTCTCTCTCTCTCTCTCTTTCCCCCCCCTCTTCCTCTTCTTCTTCTTCTTCTTCTCCTTCTCCTCTCTTTCACTCTCTCGCCCTCTCTCTTTCTCCAGACTTCTTCGCCTTCTCACCGCTCGCTAGTTCCAGACTCAGCAAGAAGGAAGACACCAACACCACGGGGGGGTGGGGTGGGGAGATGGAAATTACGATATATA